ACATGGCCGCAGGGTTCAATGCGTTTCAGCTGAGGCATGACATTTCGGGGATACAGTGTTGCGCGCCCGTGTCGCCTGTGTTATTTGGGCTGGTTTGCCTCTGTTCTTTTGTTGCTTCAGATGGTTGCATCGGCTAGTGCACACTTCAACGACCTAGCATAAAAAAAGGTAAACTAGACGCCCATGAGCTGTCCAGGTTCTTCACAGCTATGTTCACGAGTTGTAGTCCTACTCCTTTTTCTACCTACTTGTCAGCTGCATGATAGCGCACGACAGGCCATTGCGCAAGAAACGCCAATCCTTTCACAGTAACCACAGTTAGCTGTGCTGTGCACCTGCAACACAATGCCGTGCAACAAATAGACAGCAAACACGATTGCCGAGAATGGGCGCGATTTTGCTTCTGGTTCAAATACGGGACCCCATGGTTCATGGCGATTTGCGACCGGCTGAAGCCAGTACATCTTAGGACATCCTACGTTGCCCCTGTTTTGACACAAGCGCATTTGAGTTGTTTTTATGTGTTGGATACATCTGGGGAGGTTGGCTTTGCGATCTCAGGCCTCCCTGGCATTGCCCGTCATCGCCCTCATCGGCTCCCTCATTGGGCCCATCAGCAGCTTGGAATCAGCGCGCCGCAAAACGTCGCAGGAGGTTGTCCCTTTGTCGTAGCCCCGTTTCGCCAAATAAAGCGCCCCACCTCTTTCCCACGAAAGAACACTTGGGGAAACCTGGTTTATTGTAAGGGGGGCCCTTGTTTCATTGGTGAGATTCCAAGATTTTAATAAATGTGGTTAAGATTAGTTTCCATGTCGTGTTTTGGGATGCTTGTTTTCAGTAAGATTTTGAGCAAATCCGACTGCTACTTTGTTTTGCTTGTTTGCGCTTTGCAGCACGTCAAGGATGGAGGACCGTGAAGTTTGGGCTTTGGGCGGTCTGGCTTTTTGGGGTCTGGGAAAAGCAGCTTCTAGTGTTTGGGGATCGTTGTTTTCAAGGAGAGGGATTGTGACCTTTTGTGGTGGCTGCAACAGGATATGAGTATCTCGTTTTGTTGAGGGTACATGTTTTGGCGGAGTTTTGGGGGGAAATCAAAAAAAACTGCCCTTTTGGAGAGTCCACGAGGCAAGCCCAAGTTGATCAGGACTTGCATTGATGATCACATGTATTGCGCGGACGTGGCGGTGCCATCGGACCCATTGGCAGAAGCATGAAGACATTTCATGAGAGTGTCCTTTGTGTGTAAAATATGCCTCCAATCCCGACCCTGAAACACGTACTGATATTGCGGGGGCTCCATCTTTGCTTTCCCCTGCAGATGGGAGGGCTGCTGATGGTACCTGACATAAAGGGGGAGGGATCTTGTCACCTCTGACGGGGAAGAGCCTCAATCGGCCGGACAGGAATCTTCTCTGGGGAAGTGCATAGAAGTTCCATTTGTGGAAAGCCCACAGCAAACTAGACAGTTGTCTAAATAAATGCGTTTGCTTTGATCAAAAGTCTTTGCCAGCCCCTCAGGGATACAGATGCGTCAAACATAGTCAAACCGTCTTGACCGACCTCTCTGGACCTTGCAAGGCAGAAGTGCTTTAGACTCTTTAGACCGTTGCCATGCAGGTTACTTGCATGAAGCCGGCAACTCCACAGGCGTAAAGCATGTTTGGAGCCGGCCCCGACCTCGCGGGTGGCCCAAGCCACCGATCCCAGGTCAGTTCCCTACGCTCGTGAACCAGTGCGCAGAGATCCGCGGGGAGGCAGTAGACTTGAGTTGGGTAGCTGCCTTCTGAACGCCGTATGTCCATGCCGCATAAGAATGAATTGATTGATTTCTTTGGTGTTGGGTTCTTCCAAGCAGTGCAAAGCCACCTTAACCGCGTTACTGGTTGTGAACCTGGCTCTGGCTTCACGTGTTCAGCGGAAAACTCCGAAGTTGACTGAGCTTGCGCACCAAATTCTTTCATGGCGCTGCTTGAATAGGAGATCGTCATGCTATGGCAACGTCATCGACCGGCAGCTGACTCTGCCAACAAGGTGTTGGGCACCCTCATGTGCGAATTATGGTTGCTCAACCTTTACACTGCAATCATTGGATTGGTTCCGATAATGGCTGGGCTGACTTGCCGAGAAGTATCACTTTGTAAACTTTTCCCAAGACTGAGGTTGACGAAGCAGACTTGAAATAATCCAAAGCAAGACAGGTGATTGCAGTTCTAGTCATGTTGGTTCTGTTTGTATCACCGGGCCTGCGTCCGCAGCTGCCAGACAAGCACAGGCGGGACAGTGCTCATGAAATGTGGTTTTTCCTTCCAAAGTCAGATGTTGATGATTTGCCATACCAACCAGCTATGCAGTTGTTCTTCACTTGTTCTTTCAGCTAGGAGGAGGTTCAGCTAGCTCGCCATCGCTTGTGCGCGGTCTGTAGAATCCAACTGCGCACGGTAAAGGACGGCATGCCTCTACTTGCTCAGGACTGGTTCTGAACCAAGCCACTTGGGCATGAATGCTGTGCTGCAATGTACTGTTGACGGAACGTCCTGAAGCTTCTACGGTGTAAGTGGAATGTGTTGACATGTTCGATACGGATGTGTATGTATGCCTTTGTGCTCTTCATCCCGTGCTTGCTGAACTTATGCTGGCAGGGCAAAACGGATCTTCACGTTTGTCGCTGCGGAGGGTGCTTTCCGCCTTGCATAACCATGTAACCATGCCGGTGCTGGGTTTTTGTAGGTACAAGATCTTCCGCTCCGCCTACGACCGATTTCATCGCCACATGACTGCATGCAGTCCTGCACATGGTTGTTGTGGCAAGATGGTGAGCAGAAGAGGCGTGGTTCGGAAAGTATAGCGTGGTCACGGCACATGTTTCTTTCAAGATATCTCATATTGGCAGCAGGCCACACAAGGGTTTCCGGCATTCTCCTTGCACACTCAGCAGTTGCTGTCTCTTGGCTGTTGGCGGTTGGACAGCCTGACGGGAAACATCATGTTTTCTGCCTGGACAGGAGGGATTGGATGGACATGAACTAAGCCTGGTTGTTGAGACGCCTTGTCCTCATGGAGCTTTGACAGAAACATGTCAGTTGACAGCGAGCTTTGCATAGATCAATCAGCTCGGCAAATACTTAGACTCATGCATCTTCATGCATGTTGTTTATGCCAATGACTCAAGCGCTAGATTGGCCACAATCAACAGTCCGGTTGTTGAGGAGTGATGACTGTCCGTTTTGTTTGTTGTGGACTATGTGTTGTCCATTGTCCTTGGACATGCAGACGGCCAGAGTCTTCCTTGCACGCTAGCAAATTGATTGGCACATGAGATGGCTAAGAGGACCCACAAGGGTCCAAAAGATGGCCAGTCTGGGGGGGTTCTCAACATGGTGGATGCCTTGTTTGTTGATTGAGCTGGTATTCAAAGGGAAATCAAGAAGGCAACCACGCATTTTAGGGGTCCTCTTTTCATTTCCAATGGCGAGGTTGCCTTGCTTTGAGCAGATCAATTCTCGCTGATGACAGGGCATCCCTTTTCCACCGCCTCTGCTGTCCCAGGCTTTATGGGTCAGAATCTCAGCGTGCGATGGCGAGTGGTTGTCCGGAGCTGTGCAGCCCACAAGTCAGTATGGGAAGGCGTCCCTAGATTTCTTCATGGTGTTCAAAAGAAAGAGACTGCGGGAAGTTTTGCTTTGGAGATTGGTCCAGTTCAAGACTTTCCTCTCCTGCGTGGAAGCACACACGTCGATCAGGATCCAAGAAGGAACCCAACAGGGAGATCACGAATTAGTCTACCCTTGTCCGAGGGTCCTGAAGTTTTAGCTCTTCCATTCGGCCCAAGCTTCCAGGTTTCGGGCACCAGGCCAAGCCCTTCACTCCAGAGTGGGCGACACCTTCGGAGGACGGATCGATGGAGTCAATCAGTTTCGATCATAGTCATGGCTTCTGGGGCTTTGACGTTTTGGGTCCAACGAAGTTAAAGCCATGCCGGCCTTGAGCGGCTCCGTTCACATGGTGCAGGGAGGAGCAAAGCAAACGTGCAGAGAGTTTGTGGGCGATTGCATGTCGGTTTACCTTTCAACTACACCCAACTCACGACACAATTGCCACATCAAGGGCAGTCGACACCTCAATGTTTTCCCCAAAAGGGTCTCCACATCTCTTGAGATCAGAGGTACTTCCTTTCAAATTTACATAGAACCCACGGTTTGAAAGGGGCTCGCTTATGGATTCGTCTAAAATGACGATTTGTTGGGTCCATGTTCATTTGCAGGGAAATTTGGGTTGGTGTCTAAACAGGGGAAGCCCCGTCCTTTTTGCGATTCCTTTTAAAACGAGTGATTCTGCCTGATTTGAGGACCTGGAGCCAGGTGCGCGAGAGAGAGCTGCAGGGTCCACTTCCATTCGCTTAAGGCAGTGTGGCCACAATTAGACTTCCATTTGCTTAGCAATATGTGCAAAATTCGGTTGAATGTGCGTAGAAGAGGGGCTCATCATTTTCTCCGTCAGGCGACGCTGGGGATGCGAGCTCCCCGGCTGCGCTGCGCTTGCGAGGCTCAACCTCCGGTGTACTGTCTTTTGGCGCTCACCCGCAAGATGGTGGACACAAACCTGTTTGCCCAGTGGTCTAGCAGCCTACTAGCACTTATGCTAAAAGGAATTATGCAGGCTCGAGCCTTGCTGATGGCATTTTCTGCTTGCATCCCGTCGCCAAGCTCTTGCCTTTCTACCCAAGCAGCAAAGCAGCACGAAGCAGCACTAAGCACCAGCTGTTGTATTTGACTAATGTTACGCTTCTTTGAGAGCCTCTGCTCCTCATCGACTGTACTTGCACAGGATCACTTCTACAGTGACTCCTCTGCTCACACTCAGTCAATCAGCGCGGTTACTTACCTCTGAGGATGAACGAAGCCTTCTGCTGCTAAAGAAATTGCCTTGCAGGCTTGATGACACTTTGCAGCAGAAGCTTGAATACAAGTGAGTGTCCATTAATCTGCTTGCCTGCTCCCCAGCCTTGCTGCCTGCTGAATGGTTTTGCTCATCTGATCAATCCAACCTCTTGCTGATCCAACCTCTTGCTGATCAATGGTTTTGCTGATCAATGGTCTTGCAGCTCTTGCATCTCAATCTGCTGCACTTCAGCGAGCTATGACAAGTCTCCAAGACTGGAGTGCGTGTCTGTCATCCTCAGCGCAACAGCTGTATATGCATTTGTTGCAGTCTAAGGTTATTCAAAGACATGCAATCAGGTTTGATTCTGCAAACTGTCCCAGAGCAGCTTATTCTCATGTGTGCTTAGCACACTTCAAGGGCATGCATGCGGGCTCTTTGTCAACGCATCGGACTCGCTAAAAGTGAAGATTTGGTTGCACCCTCAATCGCTAGCAGCGCAAGATGGAGTTTTGTTTGACTTCGTAGCTCTTGTTGTTGTTTCCCCAAAATGCTGCATAGCGATCCGGCCAGACTGCTCTTTCTCCTGGGCAGCAGCCACAGAGCGGAAGGATCGGGGTGAACTGGGTCTGCACCTTCCCGGGCACAAACGAGGATGGAGAGAAGTGCGGAAGCAACTGAGGGGAGAGGCTTGTCCTGTAGAGAGAGTGTCGCGTTGGCAAAGTTTTGACCAACCCTGCCAATCCGGTATCTTTTTGAGCCGAGCTTGTTGTTTTGTTTGTTTTTGTTTGTCTCTATGCATACACTTTGATGCGTTGCTGAGAAACATTAAGGGAGCCCCCTGCCGGGCTCAGGCTTGTGGGAGGTTTGATTTTTGGGTGTCCAGTTTTTGTTTTTTTTTTTAGGGGGATGCGTAGCGTTGAGGCTTTGAGGTACTAGGCTGTGGGTGAAGTCGGTTGGTACACATGCAGGTTAGGTTGCAGAACCGCGGGGTTTTAAGTAATTTGTCATGTTTCCAACCATCGCTTTCGGGCGATCGCTTGCTTTGCTTCAGCCAATTGGGAACCCGTGGTTATTGCTTGTGCCGAGAGTGGCGGATTCAGTCAGAGGCTGGCAGAGAGCACGTCGAACATTTGTTGGGCCAGTCTTGAAGTAGGAAACACATCCATGCCGTTGTTGTATTCCTTGGAGCAAAACTTGTCAATCAGAACGGTGAAGCTTCAAAGGCTTACGCAAAGCGTTGCCAAATCAACGCGCCTCGGGCTCCGGTGCAGGGTTATCAGTTCGTGTCCGCCTGCGCCTGTGCCATGGGGTTTGCGGCCATTTTGGCCCTGGCTGTTGGCTGGGCCGCCATTTTCCAGCTGCGAGCTCAGAGCAAAAATTGAGAAGCTTCTCTCGCAAGAACGTCCTTGAGACTGTGTCCGGGTTTCTACCTTGTTGGATAGGTCATGTAGCCATTTCTCCCCACCACTACAAGGGCTGAAGGGGAATAACGGCTGCGTGAAGTGGCTGCGGGGGACTTGAAAACTAAGTCAAGTCATGCTCATAGGAGGCGAATGAGTGTGTGTGTGTGTAGTTTCGCACTGTTACGTTGTTCATCATGGGGGAGTTTGTCACAGGCTCTTCATGTCATTGCTTCCTTGTCTTGAAATTACGTGTTACGGATATCCTTGTAATAAATTAAGGTGACGTGTATCAGCAGGTCATGAGCTGGGCTTCTTAGAAGCACTTGTATTGACATGTCAGTCAACCCAGCGCTTCTTTGCAGACTTTGCGTTTGCAATATTAGTTTGCATCCCTGAAAGCACACACGTTTTGCAATGTGTAAAATCATGTGCGGCTCTTGAGTGTTCTCTTGGCTTGAAAGGGGACTCAAAAGGCTGGTCCTGTCATGTTGTTCGCGGTTTACTAAACCATGCAACTAGGCGCAGAGCTGTTGCAGGCAATTTAAGCGCTGCTAACAAGCACACTAGGGATAAGTACTCGAGAGTGGCATGCATGTCAACAACGTTTATAGCAATCTGTGGATTGTTAAGCAGCCATAATTTTGTTTGGAGGTAGGTGTGCCAGCGAGCCACTGTGCTTGTGACTTCTTCGTGCTTGGCTGCCTGCACCAGTTCAAGCACTGAGAGTTGCTTGTACCAGCTGGTTGTGACAAATACCTGCCACAAGCATGCGTCTTACAGTATCAGTTTCCCGCGAGGGCTGGAAAGCTTGATTTTAGTTGTGTTCAACTGTGTCATTTAGGAGGCACTGATGTTGTGTTGCTGGCGGTTGCCTGCTCGAGTTTTATACTGCATCCTGTGTCAGTAATTGTGGGAGACTGTTTTATTATTGATTTCGGGGGGGGTAATGCTCTTTTGCCGCGTGTTCAGGACGGGACAATAGGGGAACTTTAGTGATTTCATGTGATTGTCTGCCGAAAATGAAAACGGCGGATCGCATCCCCTTTTTCCTTCAATGCTACGGCTTCCGGCGTTGCCTGGAAGACTGGCGGACCGCTTTTGTGGTGGACCAATCACGCGAACAACTGCAATCCAATCCCTGCTCTCCCACTCGCAATTAGGTCAAGTTAGATTTGCTTACCCTCTTTTTCTGCAGCTTTATGAACCTTTCTGGAAAACAATGTCATTCACGCCCAACAGCAGGGTTCCTCCGCCGTCTCCAAAATGAGACGGTTTGGAGTCTGGAGCTCCGTGGAACCCCTGTTGCTCATTCCTTTTGTGGTCTAGCAGAAAAGGGAAGGCTCCCCTAAAATAGACTACAGAAAAAAAGGGGTACCCGTATTCCAACCTCTCTGAAGGACCTGGCGTTCCAAGCACGCTTTGAGGTTCACTCGGAGTGTCGCTGAGGCGCCTCGGCTTCTCCGCACCGAAGCTGGGGCTCCAAGCGCCCACGTTGCCCTCGGACCAGCTGCTGGCGGAGTCCTTGCGGCGCCGCAAGGAGGAGACAGCTCCGACGCTCCCGCTGAGACATGGCCTGGCAGGGCTTGAAAGCTCACTTCCCCGGCTGCTGGACTTGTTTAATGTTTTTTTTTGGGAAGTCATGTTTAGTGGCAAACAAACAGTTTGGGCTTATTTGGCCAATCCACTTGGGTAGTGAGAAAGAGATGACTTGTAAGCGTCATGATGCGTGGTTGTGTTCTTTGTTTTGACAAGATGATGCACATACGCACATACACAGGTGATGATATGACTTAAATGATGTGTGCTTGCAACAGAAAAAGCAGTGATTTCGGCCTGGTCAGGGGCGTGTTTGTGTTGTTTGTTTTGACAAGATGATGCACATACACACAAACACACTGTGTGCTTGCAACATAAAATGCAGTGATTTCGGCCTGGTCAGGGCTTTTGCACATTGGCATAGTTGTTGCACGAGTTGCTCGGAATGTTGCTAGAATTGTGTGTGTGTGTGTCCCTTGCTGATGAGTTGCCAGCGTTGGCTTATGCATGTTGAGAACCAAGCATGTGTTAGTATTATGTGGTGTGTTATATTGAATAGCATTGCAAAATGATGCGACCCTTTCAGCCAGAGGCCCCTTTGTACATTGCGCATGCTGTGTGATCCGCCCGGCATCAGCCTGAGTATGGCCACTTATGTCACCGCTGAATTCGCCAGGGGTAGATGCGAACGTGCAGTCTCCGGCTGAATGAATCCGCGGGAGTGCATCTCCATCAGCTTGCAGCCATGTGCTTTGAAAACGCATGGGGGCAAAGATTATCAGTTGCTTGAAAGCATGTCAATTTGGTACGCATTGTGTTGAGCGGGCCTTTGGAGTGCCACTGACGTTGCAAAGCAACTGTTTGATTTGTGTCATTGTTTTGAAACTGTCCGAGCTGCTGGCCCTGAAACACTGCATGTTTCGACCCCGGATACCCAGGATCCCAACATGCGATGTGCATATTATGTTCGTTGGCCTTTGGCTTTCTATACTTATTACTTGTGTTTGCTTTGCGGCTTGCGTTAGCTTTGAATGGTTGGCTCCGGGCATCCTTGCTTTGCGCTTTAGTTGCTGACGGTTTGCCTCGAAGCTTCTTCACGGTTTCAGCTTGCAACCTAATCCAACCCCCAGCAACCCAATCCAACCCCAACCCCACAAATCAAAAGCGAGCGAAGCGCCCCCGTCCGCGCGACAACGAAACGCTAGGCACCGGGGCAAAGCTGAATAACAACACGAAATCAAATTGACCACTTTCCCTATATATATGTATATGGTTTCAATGGGCTTCGAATGTGTCTTGTTTGCCAGTTTGCGCGCACAGCGTTGCAATGCCCTTTCCGAGAACAGCTTCCAGGGTGAAAACCCCCTCTGCCTTCTGTCATGCAGAGAGCATGCCCACATTTCAATTCTTTCATGGGCAGGAGCTGGAGAAGCAAAGGCCACAGCGGTTCTTGGTGCGCACGCAGCGCGGCTTTCTGAATGTCCATTCAGAACCTGGAGATCCTTACCGCCACGATAACGTCGTGGGGCGGCTGTGGGAGGGCCAGATTGTTACTGGCTTTGAACAACAAGGCGATTGGCTCCGGCACGATGGCGGGGGCTGGTCAATTCGCTTTCATGGTGGATTTGAATGGCTAAGGCCTCTTGAGGAGTGACAGATGCGGAGGTCCACCAAATGAGCTATCGCAGAAGAAAGCATCACGACGAACCTCTGTCGCTGTGACGTGTACTTCGCGCGCCCATCAGATTTGGGCTTCCAGCGCAATGGAAGAGTCTTGAGGCTGGAGTTGCAATGCCTGCCACTCCAAGGCAACTGCAAGGGCTACGTCGCAGGAAGCGTTTTGGCAACCACGTCGACTGGACGCAGGCTGCCTCGACGCCGGTGCAGCTACATCTCAAGCGGCTCCAAAAGAAAAAGAGCTGCGGCCGGGTGCTGCGCACACAAAGTGCCCTGCATGTCCACATGTTGTTGCATTGTTTCGGCCAGTGGATGGAACTTGCAGTTGCATTCTGATTGAGTCAATTTATGACAGTTGTTCCCACTGCCAGCATGCGTGGTTCCGGGGTTGCGTATGTGTAAGTCTGTTTTGTGAGTAGTTACAAGCTCGAGGTGGGCATGAAGCCCGTTGTTGACGTAAGCTCGCTCTGACTGATCTCGGGGTGCCTTGACATATGGAGTTTGGG